TCTCCCCTAGCAAACATGGTTCGTTTGAGGCCCTCACTTCTCCCTGCCTTCTCACAAATGGGACTAACTTCACTATTAAGTAAGTGGTTGCTGAACTCACATATGTGAAAAGGTTTCAGGCAATTTCAGGTCTCAACAAACAACTGCTTTTTAAAACATTACTATTGATAATTGATGAAATACCTGTAATCTGTCTCTCATATAACCTGCATTTGCACAATCAACCTATCCCTCCTTCCCCCTCACCCCAATTTAAATCCTTCATCAGTGTAGTCCTCTATGCATCTGAAGTGAACTGCTGCTCATGAAAAATTATGCCTTTTAATAAAATTCGTTAATCAGAAAAGTTGCTACTGATTTTTCTATATTTCTTAAAAAAAAAAAAAAACAGCAGCATATTGAGCCAATACCAGCTGAATTTTGCTGATCTCAAAAAGCTAAATAAGGTTGGACCAGGTTAGCACTTGGACAGGAGACCACTCAATACCCCAGAGCTGTAGGTTGCATGGGTAATTCAGGGGAAAACAACAGCCAATAATTTCCACATTGTTGCCAAGTAAACATCAAATTGCCATGAAGTGACCAAAAGCAGACTAGGCTCGAAGGACTTCGGCTTCTATCAGATAAGGCAGCAGTTATCTGGGAGAGTCCTTCCCTACCAATTACACAATCACCCTTCACGCAGATTAAAACAAAATATCAAATATTTATCCTGTCATTGCGTGACATCAAAGGAAGGAAATCAATTCTTCTCCCACACGAACGCGCTACCAGAGCCAACTTCGCAGGCTAGCTTAGTGTATTATGTGGGCCCCAAACCCGGCCTTAGTTTATCGTGTCGTGCGAACTGAGTAAACACGGTTAAGTGTGTCGTGGGAAACCCGCCGATGCCAGCCAACCGACACCTCCCATGCATTCCGACAGCCTATCCCATCACTTCCAAAGAATGACGCAGATAGTCTCGCACGCTATCCGCCACACCCCTCGGCTGCATCCTTCCCTCAAGCAATCAGAGAAGGCTGCGGAGACTCGAAGTGACAAGAGAAGGAAACACCCCTCGCCAAAGCGCACCCGCTGAAAGGTTCTGAGCCTTAGCTCCTGAAAGAAACATGGAGTCACACGTGAAGATTATACAACGGGACTGACGTCCATCGCGGCCAATAGTAGCCTCCTCAGCGGTGCGCCCGCCCACTCTTTGGACAGTTGGGTTTTCCTTTGGCCAATCGCCGCCTGCGCGAGCTGGTTTCTCAGGCCGGGTCACGTTTCTGACGGTATGAAGCCGGAGCTCGCCGGGGCGTGAGGGGACACGGAGGGGCGCTCGCCGAGAGAGGGCGCCCGTGAAGGCAGAGGGCAGTATGCGAGTGGGCGAGGCAGGATAACGGCCGCTAGCCCGCTTTCTTTCTTCTTTTTCTCCTCCTCTTCCTCCTTGTGTTTCTCCAGTGACGGAGCCTTGGAGGTCGGCCGTTTAAGTTGTACAACCTGCAGTGTCCGCGGCCCTGTTGGTGGGTCGCCTGGCCCTCCTTCCACTGCCGCTGTCAGCGCCGATATTGGAAGTAGGTGAGGGGATGATCGGAGCAGGGAGAGAGGAGGGCCCGCTCCGACCGGACCTCTGGCTTCCGTGAAAGTCCGGAGACGGGAAGAGGAGCGGAGCGTGAACGGAGAAACGGGCGGCTCAAGATCCTTGGAAGGCGGTCGGAGCGAGAGCGGTGGGAGGATGCTATATGTTAGATGGTTTTGTTATAGTTTTGTGGTACAGTAATACAGTGGGGTGTAAGGACGGCAATCTCACATCTTTGTTTAACTGGGAATATATGCCATTGAATTTAATGGGATTTGCTTCACAGCGAACATGTGCAGGATTGTGTCAGCCAGTTGACCCAACCAAGCGGATTCTACTCAGGCAACTACAGTACTGGGTCGCTGAACTAATTTCTGTGTGACATTAGTGTGGCAGATGTTGTCATGTGTTAACGTTGTACTGAATGCATTGGAAGTAGGTGAACCCTCAAGTAGATTGTGGAGGGTTAGCCAGGTGCTATTTGAATATTAAATGCTAGGATAGAAAGATTAGTAGGATAGAGTGAGGATAGAACAGTTCACATATATACTGAACTTGGATTTTCAGTCATGAATGATGACTTTTAAAATTAACTGCTACAGCTTTCCCCATTAACTAGTTTTGTTTCATGTTAATTTTATACTTGTGCTGTGAAATGTTTATTTAATGAGTGAATGATGATTTATTATTTATTTTCCTTTGGGGGCTCACTCTTCTCTCCAATTTTTTCCCAAAGCAACCCTGCAAAGGTATCCACAGGATCAAAATGACAAGCAGTGTCACACTGTTGCAGTGCAAGCTCCACAAGCTTCATGCATGCATGCCACATCATAACACATCTACAAAAGGGGTAGACCTTGTATTACAATGCCATGATACTGCTTTTATCATTTGACATGGACCCCCCCCCCGACACCTCTGCAAATCTATGAGCTTCAGTGGCTAATGTAGTCTAACACCTTCCACCACACCCAGGCTAATGTAGCTGAGATTAAAATCCATATATTACCGTTCATTATGCAAGCAGCTCCTGATGTTTAGTGACCATAATTATAAATTAAATATGAAATTAAGTCATACTGCTAAATAGTTTCATAGCATAATTTTTACAGATTTAATCATTGAAGAGCTTAGAACAGAATGTAATGTTCCTAATTTTGTTTACATCCATCTCATCTTTAAGACTTTTATGCTTTCAGAGCAGCCAGTTATTATTGGAACAATTCTTTCCAAAAAAAAAAACCTACACAGACCTCTCAATTCCATCCCAGCTGGCTCTCACCCAGTAGAATTAGTGGGGACTCAGGGTCTCACCTCTCTGGTTGTCTCACTCTAGAGTAGGTGCTTTTCCATAGTCCTCCACTACTGAGACTCAACTCTAGTAAGTCAATAGCTGTGGGTTTAGAAACCAACTGATTCTGGGACATACCGCCATTAGTTCTGAATGGGATTTTGCTTCCCCAGAAAGAACTGGGGTACAATCTGGGAGTCCCAGCTCCTCCTAGAAAAGCAGGTACAAACTCTGGCCAGGAGGGTCTTTGTCTAGCTTCAGATGGTCTGCCAATTGCAACCCTTCCTAGAACAGAAGGCTGCAGTCACTCAATGTCCTTGTCATCACAACAATGGGTTAGTGTAATGGACTTGTCCATTGAACCACAGTGAATGCAAAATGCATCAGGCTGAATTGGGAAAATCTTGTGTTGCCATGTAACACTTGTTTCAGATAGAATCTGTCTGCACAAGATGGGCCTCTAAAGAGTGTTTCCTGAGAGTCCCCACTCCTTACAGGTGCAACCCAAGGGGACTCCGAAGCAAACATTTCCTGTGCTCTTCCACCAGACATAAGAATCACACCCTCACTTCTCATATTCAGGAAGGTTTTAAAAACATGGCTTTTTAAATGTGTGTTTGGTGACTGAGGCAAGAATGGGAGACATACCTAGGTATAGGATGAGCCTTTGTTATTTGATTATATACAGCACTATGGTTTTATGTTTATAGTATTATAAATGATTGCATTTAATTTTTTCATATATTGATAGTTTTGATATTTGGTGGATTATTATATATTTTTACAGTGCTGCTTGTAAATTGATTGAAGCAGCATAAAAGCGTGAGCAGTAAATGAATAAAATGTTAAGAGTCTTTAACCATCATTTAACTTCTTTCAACCAAACAGCTGGAGGTAGAATGCTTAATTGGGAAATTGAACAAGGAGAAAAAGTTAAACCTTTGTATGCAGTATCATGGTATCAGTCCAGTTTACGTGGTCTACAACTGCTTTTTTTTCCCCATAAAAAAACCAAAGAGGAGATGACTGCTTGTGTCACATCTTTTTTGACCCTTACTATATGGCAGCACCTTTTAGAAAACCAGTAAACTTCTCATTATTAGCTGTGAAGATCAGTCTTTTATTTTGCAACTCTCTGATAGCCATTAGCGAGCAGAAAAATCCATGCACTGATAAAGGAACTGATCACTTTATCCTTCTGGATTATTTGGTTATCATGATAGATGCAGATTAATCTCTCATCTACACAGAGAATCATCTCTCTTCAGTCTGCATAGTAGATGCTTGGAGGTAGGAATGGGAGTTCTAGCTTGCTAAGAGATTAGCTTTACAACCAGTGTAGAGAAGCAAGTTATTGGCCTGTTAAGAAATTGGTATATATTTGCACATGCTAGAAGCTAACGAACTGGGGTTACAAAGTGGTAACTCTTTCCATCCCAGGCAGCTGGAAGGGCCACCCCTTATTTTTCATATAATTCCAACAAGGAAGACATCTTTTGCTGACCACATTTCTTATCCAACAATTGCTAATTGCCATAGTTCACTAACCAAAAAGAATAACCACTGAACTTCTTACTGATACAGAATTAGTTGATAGGAAAGCATTAATTTAGAAACTATCAAACATGCTGCAAGGACTAACTGTGGCTTGTTTTTTAATATGCACGTGTGAATTTTAGTAAACACATGCAAATACCTTTGTCTTCCTTTCATTTTCTATAGTGGCACTCTCTCACAGAGATTCTGCAGTAAATGTGAGCAATAAAATGTGACATTCTTCTGTGACCCACTGTAGAGTGGATTGTGATTCATTTGGATCACAGTTCCCTAATTAAACAAGCTGTTGAACTACTTCATAATCCTTTGTTTCAGCACTATTGTTACCTTGACAAACAAGATAATTAAATAGGAATATACATAACAAAAACAAACTCTTCTGTTTGGGTTTTTTTCTTTCTTTAGGTTTCTATAATATTTGAAGTTTGGACATTGAGAACACTGTCAATATATGGATATGGAATGGAAAACATTAGTACTGTACGACTGATTACACTAGGGCCAAGTATTCTTTGAACTCTGCTCTGGAAAATCTTTTGGATTCTCTGACATTTGTGTGGCAGTTACTGGCATTAAAATTGTTTATAATAAGCAACTCTTTGAAAATAGCAAGTGATAAAGTTATTGTAGAAAGCATGGATATTCAAATGGAGAATGAACAAAATTTGGATATTCTTCAGGAAGATATTGAGATGAATGGGGAAATGAGTACAAATGATACCAATGAAAATTATTCCAGTGAGCATGATTTCCATAGCAATGAGGGTGAAGAGAATGATAAAGAAACAGCTATGATTATGGAATCTTTTGACTACTATAAAAGGTACTATTCTGATGCCAAACAATTGTCCTGATGCTGTGAATGTATGTAGCAATGATTATATGTAATTTGCATTGGTATATTTGTGGATGTTCCATTTCAAGATATTCATATTGAGACCGATGCAGGATATATTTATTTTAAATCCTGAAGAATTACATCTCAGCACATTAAATGAGATTGGGATAATGGATGAACTTTATTTGTGCAGTCTTCGGCCACTGCGTAAGTGTCTGCTGATTTCACAACCACAGCTGAGGCAAAGCTGTAGAATATAGCACAATCTCTCCAGCCTCTCCCTTTCCTCTTCAAAACCAACTTTTTAAAAACTATGTCTGACCTTAAAATGAACAAGGATTAAGAATGGTACCAATTTAAGTTTTAATTGTGATTAAAAATGGAAGAATTTGCTGTAAAGAGCCTGCCAGTGGCATCATAATTCCTTAGCTGTGGTTAAGTGTGCACTGTTTGTTTGTTTTTTTATTCACAAGAGAACTGATGTACTGGACAAGCAGACTAACCTTATTTAAATGTGCAGTATTTTGTTACCACTACTGTTCAACGGCAGACTTCAGTTTTCCCTGCTATACTGAATTAATTGCAGTATTCAGTATAACTTTTCAACTGACTTCCTAATTTAATGAGTACATTATTATTCTTGCAACAAGCATGTAATTAGCCTAATCATAAAAAACTTAGCTATTTTTTTTTATCTTGTTGGAAGAGATAACTGAAGAATTAGTGTATTTCATATTTTTGAGAGTCTCATTATTGAAGAACTATATAATGTAAAAATAAAGATACACTTAAGCAGTCTGGAGAACAGTGTGCTTCTGTCACCTTGCATTATCACTTTAATAAATCTTAAAAATTGAGTTTTACTACAGAACTAAATTAAACCTGAATTATTTTCATTTACAATATCTAGAAGTGAATTGTCTTCTGAATCTAAAACTCAGAAGGAATTGATAAAAACTTTGCAAGAACTAAAAGGACATCTTCCTCCTCATAAAAAGATCAAAGGCAAATCAAGTATCCTGGCAACTCTGAAATATGCACTTAGGAGCATTAAGCAAATTAAAGGTAACTATATTAAGCATTAATTTTCATTTTTAGGATATTAAAACAATATGCAGAAGCTATAGTAGGAAGCAAGCTTATGATAAAAGGAAGGTTCTGAACTACAGTAATACTTTTCTTGATTAGGATCTTGATATGGTTTCTGTAATTTTTTCTTTGTATTTGTTTTTAAAGTCAAAACCTAAACATCTGTTCATATCAATATACATTATTGAATAAAATGAAATTATTATGCGATATTTCACATTAACTTATTATCCCTCACTCTCTCACACATACACATACCTATCTATAATACAGACACATATATGGGTGGGTTTACATTAATGAGATTGGTAAATTCCTTAATTATATTCTCCAACTTAATCATTTTCCTTAACTTAATATCTTGAAGATTGAATGAAATGCCTCCAAACTTACAGGTCACCAACAGATGGCAGTATTGGCATTCTAAAAGCTCTGATAAATTCTTTAGGTTCTGTTCTTTCGCTTCAGTTTGTGGGAGTTGCTGTGAGTCACTCCAGTTGAAATTCATCACCAAATGGAGGTCGTTTAAGGTGATGACTGTGTTAACATGAATACTATGTGTTGCTGGGCCAAAAATATAGAGATATGGAACCAGGAAGAGCTGATTTGGGTGATCACAGTGGAGGATCTGTGACAGCAACCAGTGAGTTTCTCATGAGAAAGGTTGATGTATTGATTAAGGACAGTCAGTCAATCACTCAAAGGGAAATTGCTGTCAAATTTAGCATTTCACAGGAAAGTGTGGGTCACATTATTGATGTTTTTCAATATCAAAAGGTTTGTGCAAGATGGGTTCCTTGCATGCTTATGGCAGAGGTGAACATTGCAAGAGTTAAAATTTGCCAGCAATTATTGTCATGCTATGAGAATGAAGGTAAGGAATTTCTTCACAGGGTTGTGACAGTCATTGAAACACAGGCTCATCATTATGACATAGAAATGAAGCATCAGTCCATGGAATATCATCAGAAACCTTCACCTGCAGAAAAAATATATGAAACTCAGGCTTCAGCAGGAAAACTCTTGATTACATATTTTTGGTACACAAGTGGTGTTATTTACATGGATTTTCTTGAACCCTGCACCAGTATCAACTCAGAGTGTTACAACACTCAAAATTTGAAACAACAATTAAACAAGAGTTTGGAAAGAAATTGTGCTGCAACATGACAGTACAAGGCCCCATACGAAGTTGAATTTCATCATCTTACCCCATTTGCCATACAGCCTAAGCTGGGCACCATGTGACTTCCACCTTTTCCCAAAATAGAAGGAATACCTTTGAGATCATCTGACTCAGATAAAGAGATGGAAAGAACTTTCAGGATTTGGTTGAAGAGGCAAAGCATGGAGATGGCTTTTCTTTTATTGGCAGAAGTGTGTAGCAAATGGTGGTGATTATGTGGAGAAGTAAACACAGGTAACAAAAGAGCTCATTTCAAGGAGTTTTTCCTGTTTAATTTATTAAAGCATTCCTATTTAAACTAAAGCTATGAAGGTGGAGGCGAAAGAATTTTCATTCAACTCTTATATGTTCCACTATTTCAAAGAACTTAAATTTCTTGAAAAGTTGATACTATATATGAAAACTTAAGATGGCTGCATAGTTGATAACCTGTCTTCATCTCCTCCTTCATAACTGTCAAATCATCAAAAGCATGAGAAGACCCATGTGGAAATACATCTACAAATAACTTCAATACATCCCTACCAATTCCATTTCTGATTGTATGTTTCTGAAAGCTCCTTGAATATCTCTCTGGAACACAGAAGGAGGCACTGGGTCTCTCTGGATTAAGCTGTGCAAAGTAAATTGTTTTGCTTTACTGAAATGTAGGGGGTTACAAACTGATCAAATTCCATGTCCATATCATTCAGAATGTCAAGATTTAATTGGTGCTTACATTGAATGTTGAAAGAAAGGGAATAAAGGCATAATTAATGTAAATGAAAAATAAAACTCTTAAAACTACTTTCTAATCCAAATCTAAAAGCTGCAAAGAGACAATATTATAGCACTTAGAAAAAATACTTTTCCATTTCCAAGGTTTTTCCATATTCCCCTGTGGAAGTAAATATACTCCTATCTGAGCCAACAATCATGCAATATGAATGTGGTACTATATTTGAAAGTTTATACAGGACTCAGATTGAAATGGTAAGTGATGTAGCAGAAAGCCTGCTTATATGACAAAATGACTAGTGGCACTGTGGAGACATAGTCCCTGATATCACCACACAAAATTTTAAAATGGAAAAGGGGATTCCCAATAACTGTTTTACTATCCCCCCGTCCTACTCTTCTGAAAATTTAAACAGTGTTTTCTGACAAGATACTAAACAATTGATTTCACCATCAGGTTCCCAGAGGATTCAAAATGTGACAAATTCATCTCCTTTCTAAGTGTTTATTACTGTGAATTAATTAGTAAAGAAAATTGTTAATAGTTTTAACACTGTAATCTTATTTCCTAATTAATAATTACAGTTTTAAAAGGGGGGAAGACTCAGAAATCATTATAAACAGAACAGAAAAAAACAGAACACTAATTGAAAGTTCATAATATTTATAAATTAATCAGGAAGTAACTGTACTGCTATCTGAGTCAGTGGAACATATTAAGCTCAGGAAAATTGTTCAGTTAAAAATATAATTAGATAGCCTAATTAAAACATTGTGTACCCTTTTGAAGAGAGTAAAAACCTGCTTGAATTGTACACATTTTTTTTCCTTGCAGCCAATGAAGAATATTATCAATTGATGATGAATAATGAAAACTATCTCTGTGATCTTGATATATTATCTTGTACTGTGGAAGATGTTAAAAACATTACTACAGAATACACCATGAAGAATGCAGTAAGTATTCTCACTGTAACAAATGTGCAAATTATCCTCTTCTACTCAAATAGAGAATCTTAGCAGATTTTTTTTAACAGTTAGCATCTATAGAATTTAAATTATTTCTGAATCTAGTACCAACATTCCCCACTTAAAGGAAAGCCGTTGGGATTCTGGACTTAAACCAGGGAGATGCTGATTCCTACTGATTGTGAACCTTATGTTCACTGAGTTAATCCAATGTTTGTTGTTTAACCTATTAATACATCAGCATAAACTTACAATGGGGGAGACTATGTATGCTGCTTCCTTTTGGGGTTAAGGGAGAAGAGGCTGAATAAAATGGTAAGAAGTGAAATGAATAAGCCATTCAAAAGTATTGGTTCCTATGATACCAAAATATATAAATATTTATATACTCACTTGCACATGCACACCATTACTGTATATAAAAGTCAGTTGCCTGAATTTGAATGAGTTTTACAGATCTTTGGATAGCTATCTTGCTGTTCTTTCTCATAGAGAGCTTGATTCTGGAAATTTTTGCAAACACGCTGGCCTGCTTTGACCTCTGAGGCATGCCATAATTTGATTTAACATGATTTATTGAATAAACCACAATTATTGTGATTCGCCCAATATAAGCCATGATATATGAACTGCAGCAGCTAGGTTTGCATAATACCTCAAGCCTAGGCAATATGTGAACTCAGCCCTATTTGTGTCCCTATGAATCACTGTATTACCAGCAAAGTTTCAGGAAGATTCAGATTTGATGTGCCTAAAACGGACTTCACTTCAAATACCTCCCTTTTGTATCTGGACTATCCAAATTTAATTCAGAATCCGTCTGGATCTGAAGTATGCTGCTAGTTAAGAGTCAGAAGTAAACCATAATACATTCATTCATTCATTTACTCACTCTCTCTTTGCCCAGATAATAATATGTTAACTTTGCCATATCTCATAGTTTAGCATATTTGTAGCTCACAGCATTTGTGTTTCTTTTCATTTTGCCAAGTTAAAATGTGTTTCACTGAATTTATATCGTGTTTTAGGATATGTTTGCTGTAGCTGTTTCTTTGGCTACTGGGAAAATTTTGTACATCTCTGATCAGGCTGCCTGTATCCTCCATTGTAAGAAAGATTTATTTAAAAATGCCAAATTTGTGGAGTTTCTGGCACCTCAGGATGTCAGTGTATTCTATAGCTCAACTATACCATATAGATTGCCATCCTGGAGTATTTGCAGTGGAGTTGGTAAGTCAGTTAAATTCTTCAACTGTGCCTACATTAATATGTTTTACCCATACTTAAATGAGCAGTTTATATTTCTATAAAGAACAAAAAAAGGAATTATAACTGTGTTGGCTCATGAAAAATCTAAAGCCATAATTGTGTAATACCTTTATGAAGACTAATAACTCTTTTGAGCTCTTTTGATTCCCCCCCCCCCCTTATAATGAAACTACTTCTCTGGGCTTAGGCTTTGATAACTGTTTTCATTGCTGCATTTTTAATGAACTCTCAGCTGGTGACAACACCTGTCAAGGTGCAGTAGACCAGCAGAGTTGGAACATGGCTGGGAAATCACAGGGATATCAGGGCTATAATCTAGACTGGGAGTTGAAAAATATCCCAGAAGAGGGCAATGCCATATGAGTTATATAGGAACAAGGAAACTATATGGATTTGTCTATAACATTACCAGGAATTGACCTTGACTTGAAAGAAAATACTGGAGTGGGAACTTACAGCTGTGAACATAGGCATCTACAGCTAGTCATGATGATGGAAAAATACAGTGATGTCACAATGCAAACCCTATCCTTAGCATACAAGTTGCAGGGTTTGCATTGTGACATTATGATATGTTTTGCCACTCCACCCCTGAGACCTCCAGCTGTGAATTTATCTAGAAAAGGAATACTGCCAATTACCTTTAAAATGAATAAGCAAATTCTTTAAATTGTAGTTTTTGAGATGATCTTATACATCTTTTTTGGAAGTAAAACCGTGGGGTTCACTGGTACTTTTTTTCTTTGAAGTTTGCATAGAATTTTTCCTAAGTCACTTTTGAACAAAATGTTTTGTGGAATACACATTTAAATTACAACCTCTCATTGTTTAGCAACCACAATTCATTCCTTAAATTGGAAGTGAAATGGTCACTAAGTGAAATGGTCACTAAGTGAAATGGTCACTAAGCAAGCATGTGACAGAGAGAGATGCTGCAAAGATCACTGGTTGCTACCATCTCATTTAAATAAAGTTCTCTCACTCAGCAGTGTCAGCATTACTCTCACTCTGGTGTGCGTTTTCAGGCACATGAAATTTGGTTGTAAGTGTGTGCATTATTCGGAAAATTATTTTTTAAAAATTACTGTTGCATTTGCAAACATCGCTAAATGAGGTAGCACTAAACGAGTAGTGGCTGTAGAGCAATAGAGTGCAACTAAAGGATTGCAGTTGGGGCTTGTTTTAGCATTTAAATACTTGAATGAATCCTGTGATTAGCAGTTAGAAGGTAGTTTAATAAGTAATCTAATAACTAGATTAGAATATATGGTAGTTATATTTTATATTTATCTATTTTTTATTGTTGCTTTTGCTACTCATTTCTTTGCCCAAAGAAGGCTCAGTTCTTCAGTCCCTTAACTAGAATGTTATGCAATTATGTGTTCTGTGGCTGGCTTTAATTGTTCAGATTAAAGCAATCCTTCACAAAATAACTCCTAATTGTTAAAAGTTTTTCTTGCATACTCCTGACTGTCAGAATTAAGGAGGGAAAATTATAAAATCTTAAATTATGAATTATTTGGAAACAATAATCAATTTCAGTTTCCAAAGTGGTATATCAAATTTAAAACTAATAATGATAAAACCATCCTATCTGCACAAATGTCCTTTCTTTGAGGAAAGCTTTCATCCTATTAGGAATTGAGTTCATGCCCACAACAATGGTATATGAGAAGATTTTCCTTCTTTCCTTTGGTTAAATGTGAATATATTGGTTGTAATGGAAAATACCTTGTCTTGTATTATTTATTCTTTTGCTGTGAATATGCCAGCCTAGAAAATTTTGTCATACCTTATCTAACAGAAAGAGAGTGGAACACTATAGAGTTCTATATAGTGGAACACTATAGAGTCCACTATAGAGTGGAACACTCTATAGATGCTGAGAGTCTAAGAACATTTTGGCAGATAAAAAAGAATTATATCATTGAGCAGATTTTAAAGTTTGTTGTAGCAGCCAAACGTTTGCAAGTAATCTTCATCTCTATGATTGCTGTTAATCTGGAAAGAAATAAATGCCTATTATAATTTTATTTTCAAACATAATTAATTCTTTGGTAACTGAAATTCATTCTATGCTTCTTTTATTTTGTATGTTTATATATTTGCACTGTGAAGATCATTGACTAAAAGCAGTCTAATTTTATCTTAAATTATAAATGTTCCAGTTCTGATAGATAGGAAAATAATTTTGATCTTCTTGTATTTTGAGTGAATATGGATTAAAAGAAATGAGATATAATATTAGATTAAGAATGCAGGCACAGTGTTTAGTTCTCAACCAAAATTAAGCAATCCAGTATGGAGTAGAAAATTATTTTCTTCCCCTATAAAGAATATATGACTTTGACTTTCCTATAGCCTATTCTCTGTCTACAGTAAGTGTACAATCTTGTGCATTGTGTTATTGACTGGAGAATGTTGTGGCTTCCCATCAGCAGAGAGTAGCTCTGAAAGAGGGGGAAGGAGAGCATTCTAAGGGCAGAGATGGGCCTCACTTTTATATTTGTTGAATACAGAGCTCCATTCCCTTGGGCCTAATCCATAGGTGGGGGATAAGGACCATAAACATGCATATAAAGGCTGTGCAAATCATCTGGAGAGGCACTTCACAAAGCAACTGAAACTTCCAGCTTAATTTGCTGTATGAAATGGCATGGTGCCACTTTGGAGGCTTGGCATAGCCATTTCAATGGCCTCCCCACATTGTCTAAGATATGTGTGTGCTAGCTTGTTACCAAAGCTCAGCATGTTTGGATGGATGCATTTGGGTTCTTCCTGAAGTACACCTGCAAAAGCTTTGCACAGCTATAAAAACATGCTTTCCACCCTGGTTAGTACAACCTTCTCCCAACTTAGAATTGTTCTACCAGTGATTCAGCATTGACGTTCTGTTTTCACCTGAATAACTAAATAGCTTTCTGATACTAAGGGGACAGAGTTTTGTAGCTTATGAAGTCTTTTAAATATTTTTATAGAGTCTGCTACCCAAGAGTTCATGAAGGAAAAATCTTTCTTCTGCCGCTTCAGGTAATGCAAACTATAATAATCAATAGTCAATATTGTGTAGGGACTTGGATCCAGGGAGGCCCTTGTACTTTCTCAAAGAAAAGTGGGAAGGTTGCTATTTTTGCCTGCAGCAGCCCTTGCCATCTGTGTGCCCTTGATCTTCACTGATGACCCTTCAGAGGGCATAAATGAAAAATTGTAGTAAGAAAGAAAACTGAAATTTCTCCCATATGAATAGAAAAATGATATATCCCTTTTATTACAACCAGAAAAGACCAAATACCAAAAACCATACCATATTTAATAATCTATGAAGAATATAAGAACTGAACTATGCTTTTTCAAATTTTTAGTGCAGAGAAAGTGAATATAAATGAGAATCACTACCATCCATTTCGTATGACCCCATACCTTATTAAAATACAAGATGTAGAAGATCAGCTTTGTTGTGTGTTGCTTGCAGAAAAGATACACTCTGGTTATGAAGGTAATAATACTGTATTTTTTTTCTTTTGAAAGCATAAAAGGACATAGTGTTTTACAAAAACCACTCATCTTTTGATGAGTTTTGATGTGGTTATCATTGATAACATGTGAAAAGCCATTGTACTTTGTAGGAAAAGTGCCTCTGAAGATAATTAGTTTAATGTAACCTCTGTTGCTAATCATGTATACTTGGAAATGAAATTCTGTAGTCCTTGCTTATATTATTACTATTATTATTGTGATAATATAATACCTCCTATTTTCTCTACTCCCTATTCCTCCTATTACAGTATACTGTATGTGTACGTATTGGAAAATAAAGCTAATTGGTTTCAACTGGATTTACAAGTGTGAATAGAATTGCTGGCCTAACTTCTACATTTTATTTGTTTGTATTTTTATGATTTATATCCAGCTTTTCTGCCCATAGGACACCTAAGGCAGCTGACAATTTTATGTATTTATTTATGGTTAAATTATAATAAAAACAGTTAAATCCACTATTAAATTAATTTACTCTGAAAAGTTCTGGCTAAAGGCAGAGGTTATTATTCTTTTCCTAAAAGTGAATAGAATTGAGCTGAGCATTACTCCTGAGGTGAGTACATGCCTTAACTTGAGAACAACATAAGAGAAGGCTGTTTCCTCTGTATTAGACCATTGGACCTCAGTGAAGTTCTGTTTGAGAAAGTTTCTCCTTTTGATGTTACTGTGTGGGCAAGTTAATATTGAGTTTCCTTAATGAAATCCCTAAACTATTTAGGTTTTTAAAGGTTAAAGAAAATTTAGTCTCTTGGTGACTTCATGTTAAATAGCACATTAAATAGCACTCAGAAAACAACTGGGAACCACTATATAACAATTGGAAACTAATATGAGCATAGCATCTTGATATCATATGCTGGAGAGTCACCCATCTGCTTTATTGTACATTAGTCGAAACTTGCAGCATTTCAAGGGTAGCCCCATATAGAACGTATTGCAACTATTATGTCAGGATGTAACTAAATTTAGTTGATTGTTGCAGGTCCAAACAACTCATTAGATGCAATATGTAAATATGTTTCTTGTAACCATCACCATTTGGGAATCCAGTTGGCGTCAAGGATCCTTGTTGCATTGTAAATTGTCTACTTGAGATAGATCTTACCTGTCTAGTATGTATGACTCAGATTGGGGTGCTGAAGTTCCTTTTCCACATGAGATCGAGGAAAAAGGAAGAATTTTGTTTCTCAGCAATGCCACTTACCCTGTGAAACAGCTTCCCCCCAGACATCCTAACCTTACAGTAGTCTAAAAACTGAACTATTCAGAAGAGCATTTGTTTAAGATCTGTCATTATTACTATTATTTCTGATTATAATAGTTTTGACAGTTGTAAGGATGATTATTCCTGTATTCTGTTTTTGTGGTATGATCACTTGGGTTTTTGTTCATTTGTTTATTGTACACCACTATGGGTCCATTTGGAGTGTGGTTATATATTTAATAAATAAATCCAGAATGGGCTGAACCCCAACCCCAGAGCCTGTTTTCTACTGATCAAGAGAGCCTCTATCTTGTCTGAATTTGATTTTATCTTCTTCACCCTTATCCACTCCATTACCAAATTTAGGTATCAGACAAGGGGATCAACTGTTGATTTCAAATTAAATGGTAAAGAGCAATATATTTGGATGTCATCAGCACACTGTTCATTGCAAAGATCCAGATGATTTCTCCAAATGGTTTCATGCAGAAATTGCATAAAATAGGAGAAAGATGGAGCTCCACATGACATCATAGTCCTGTGTCTTAGGTTTTGAACAGTAGTCATGAAGCATTATTTTCTGAACAAGAAAGACTATAACTATCATAAAACTCTCAAAGCCTAGTCCCACCAGACAGTCCAGAACATTTGTTGATGGTGTTGATAGCAGTTGACGGGTCTAAGAGAATAAATAAGATCACACTCCTTTAGCTTATTAGTAGGATATATCATCCACCAAGAGAAGGATATCAGTCTCAATCCCATATCCCAAATGAACCTGATTGAAATGCGTCTAGATAATCAGTATTCTCCAGATGTGTCTGGAGTTGCAAGACTATACATCTGCAGTGAGATAGGTGTAGAGAAATAAGCGTTCTTTACTGCCTTCACTGCCATGGAATACAACTACAAATGGGCTTCAGTCATTGCTTGAGTCTCCTGAGATCCCCTTGTGCTCAAGCTATTGTCCTTTCTGCTTCAGATCCCTCAGCTCCCCAATAAACAAGGGACTTTGTGCAAGGGAGAAGGTTCCATGGAATAATTGTGCCTACCACCCATACCGTTTCGTTAACAGTATTGGTAACAAGGGGCAGGAAAATCTGAAGGGCTTTCAGTAAACTATTTGAATCTATCAGCCATGTGGGACAAACTATTTTAACCAGTTCACTACTCTTGCAGAGGATTATACCAGTGCCCAACCTAACGCTGATCAGAGAATAACCATAATAATGAGTTTACATAGAACTCCTCTACCTCTTAGATTACCAACTTTACTTGAACAGGCTGCCAGATTGAGATTATGCAGAATTCCATGTGTGTAGTCAGATACTAATTGGGAAGGTCCATGGTTGTTGACTGGAATTCTTGAGCTGCTCTTGATTGGATAAACTGAGTGCGGACATTGAACTCCATCAAGATGAGAAGACTAATGCAATCCAATGCCTCTTTCAAGGTGCACTCAGTATCTTAGAAATGGAAAATATTAGGCAACAGGTTGGACAGTGGACCAAAACAATCCCTGCATTGACCCAAGCAAACCAGACATGGAAGTGCACAGTAGAAATTGGTGGGCTGTTAGATAGAAAATCTAGTCAGCAAGATGGAATTCCCATAGACTCTTACCACACCATTCTTTAGATCTGGTCTCCTGTACAACTAAGTAACCTTGGAAACAGATCTGAGGGGGAAAATATTTTCTTTTCCTGGAGACAGATGTCTGATAGGTCAGCATTTTCATTCAGAGATTAAATCTTAAATGAGAGCGGTTTTACCAGCAAGTGACCTGATTTTTAGAACAGTAGGACCTTTAGGTAGGGCAGAGGGAAGGATCTTTTTTTGTTATCACCATGACTTTTTTTAGATAGAATGTCCTTTTTTTCTGTACAATAGCCAAGCTGAAATCTCCTAGCATGTGTACATTTGATAGTAATCTTGGCTAGCATCATCTATGAAAATTTGCTTGCTGACCACTCTCAAATCCCATCTTTTCTCTTGTACTTGCCAGTTAGGAGGCAGCTGGAGGAAAGCATCTTCCCCAGTGATCACAGAGAAACACTGTTCCTGATCCCCTGCCTGCCACAATGCAGCCAACACAGTCAAGATTAACAAATAAATCTATTCCCTCATTAGCTTCCTCTCAGAGGCTGTTCCAATCCGAGACATTACTCAGTTCCATTCATCACAGACAACTGGAGACCTGTTGTTCTGCTGTCCTCTGCTTTCCTCCATCCTTGGCTCTTTTGCTGCCTCTCCATCCTGTATGTTGATTTAAAGAAGGGAGCTATGTTCCACCTAGAATACTCCTTGTAGTCCACGTACTACCTGTTGGGAAATACAGATTTTGACCATTATTCTTTCCTGTAATATTCTAACTATTATCCAGTAAAAAACAGGTTTAGCTATCTTGATAAAATAAATAGATTTAGGAATTTAACTGTGTTATATTTATTGGAATAAGATTTTAATATTATTGTAACTTGTTTATTTTTTTAAGTGAATATTGTTAAGTCTATTTAAAGTATAAAAGCACTGCAGAGTTAAAACAAATTGGACACAGTGCTTTGATAGGTTATCTTTGCTTTTAGTATGTATCAGTAGATGTGAAGAAGTTGAACACTCAAATTATAACTGTTTCTTTAATGTATCCTGTTTATATACATTTTTTATTTCTATTAAACTTTGTTTTGTTTCAGCACCTAGAATTCCTCCTAATAAAAGAGTGTTTACAACCACCCATACACCAAGTTGCTTATTCCAAGAAGTAGATGAAAGGTAAACTAAAACTACCATGTTTAATGTTTAATGTATGTTTAGCTGCAGTGTTTATGAAAATAATAATTAAGACAGTCGATGTACATATAATAATTCATAAATCTATGTTGTTAGCTTTTGTTAGATTATGAACTGGAAAGATTTGCATAAAATCTAACTAAAACCTGAAATATAGTTCCACTCTTTCATAATGATATGGTTCCTCTTCTCTCCATTACTAATAGCAGAAATTCATAATTAATTTCTAAATGAAAACCTTCCATTATAAAAATTAAAGGGGAGCACAGACATTTCATACAATAGCTACTGCTACCTGAGTTCTATCAGCTTATGTATTATATAGATAATTGTTACAAAGAGATAGAAAATTATTTTCCCATTGTTTTGCAAATTTAAGTGTAATGTAAATTCCAGATATACCTTAATCTGTGCTATTTTCATTTTATTCTAATTGCAGTTAAATTGATATATAGTATGTATAAAATGTGTTCTGCTTTATTTTTATTCAAATTCTTTTTTAAGAGCTGTACCTCTGTTGGGATACTTACCTCAGGATTTAATTGGAACTCCTGTTTTAGTACATCTTCATCCAAGTGACAGACCTTTAATGCTAACAATTCACAAAAAAAGTACGTTCTTCTACTTTTGCTTTTCATGAAGGCTGGGAAGCAATCAATAAAGAAAATAAAGCATAAATAAAGTAATAAAGCTTAAGGGATGCTCATGGAGTTTTAAGGAAAATTAAACTGATTGATCTTCTGATTAAATTTTGATTAATTACTCTCCCTCCCCACCCTCCCCCATCTTCTGTCTTGTTTATTTGTAGACTCAAGTATGCGTGCAAAAGTACTATTTGGTCTATCTTTTCTGGCCTTTTTCTAACTTTAATGCACATTGTTGGTGACTGGATATGGATGAAGCAATAATTAGGCCCACTGATATAGAGCCTAGATCAGCCACGTGACACCTAAAGAATTCAAAATTGAAATCTGTATGTGTATGCTTATGACTGAAATATTATGAGATTCCAGTGAGAACTTGAGGTCTTCCACAGTCCCAGAGGAAGTATCTTCTGTGGGTGCACACACACACATGCATAGTGAGGAATATCTTTGAATCAACTATGCCAAGCCTTTCAGAGGATGTGGCAGCTTTAACACTCTGAAGAAGGATGCTTTGCAAAGCACCTCTTTTGAATGCCTTGCACAGCCTTATTTCTAAGTATGGCTTTGGCAAAATATTATATATGAATATTAATGCCTAATACTGGTAGTCCTTGACTTATAACCATTCATTTAACAACCGTTCAAAATTATGACAGCACTGAAAGAAGTGACTTACTTCCTGGGGTCATGTGATCACCATTTGCAACCTTCCCAGGGGGCTTCCAACAAGCAAAGTCAATGGGGAAAGCCAGATTCGCTTAACGATCAAGTGATTTGCTTAACGACCGACCATGTGATTCACTGAACGACTGTAGCAAAAGTTGTAAAATTGGGTGCAACACACTTAAGCACATCGCTTAGCAATGGAAGTTCCAGTCCCAATTGTGTTGTAAGTCAAGGATTACCTGTAGTGGTTAGTTGCAGTCTTTCAGTAACCTTCAGTTCCTCAATAGCCTCAGGCTAATCTGTTTCAGAGTTATGAAAATTGTAAATATTTGACCATTTAAAACATAAATGTTCTTAGTATATTGTATAAGAATGTAATATAGCCTTCCTTCTGACTGCTCCAAGTCTAGATCCAGTCTAAAATTTAGGATCTTGAATTTAGAGATATAGATTCTATTCTTGCCCATTTTCAACAATGCAAAGACACAAAATAAGTTAATTTCATATTTTCATGTCAGCAGTTCTCATCTTCCACTGAGCTAAAACCAAATAGATTATTCACACTAACTTGAAGTTTCAGGCTCAAAGGACTCTTTTCACCAAATTGTTACTAACAAAACAAATAATTTCTCCTTCAGTGTTTGCAAGTTACATACTTTTTATAACGTGCTTCTAATTTTTAAAAGATCACTTTTGTCTATTTCCTTAACATTAAAGCTTGCATCAATCTTTTTCTTACAGTACTTCAGTGTGGTGGACAACCATTTGATTATTCACCAATCAGATTCTGTACTAGAAATGGTGAATACATAACTCTGGATACTAGCTGGTCCAGTTTCATCAACCCATGGAGTCGAAAGATTTCATTTATAATTGGAAGACACAAAGTTAGAACGTAAGAAATTAGTGGCAATAAAATGAGAGCTCATGAGTTATGAATTCTTTGTGAGAGGTCTCTTTACATTAGAATGGGGATTACTGTCATGTGCCAGAATTAATTGCACAATTTATTTATTTATTAAATTACAGAAATCCTCTGTGTAAATGGATAATTCCCTCCCCTTTCTTCCTTCTGTAGGAACTGATGTATAGTTCTCAGTGCCAGATTGGATAGGGTGCCCTTTTTATACTTAGCAATTGCTTAAATTAAAAATAATAATAATATGGAAAGCCAATCCAAAGTAGGACCCTGGTTGTAGGTAAGAGGTTATTTATTTTCATGTTGTGGTGTTGATACCAATGTAGATTAGGGCTCCCATAGCTATATTGGAGAGCTTTTCTTTGAGTGTAACAGCTGGTGCTAGGGAAGGCCAGTCCAAATTTGCCGGACAGTAAGAAGGATAATTAAATCTTTCCTCACCCTCTTACCTTGAAACAAGGGCCAGATCAGGCTGGTTTAGAAAAACAGTTGTTAGTTGTATGATTGGCATCTTACACTATTTTGCCCACATTTTTACCATGGATGCCACTGCAGACGGCACCCAATATAGCTTCTTCAGCTAGCAGTTATACAATATAGTATTCCTTCAAATCTATATATTGCATATTACAGAGAAACCTTCCTACCCCTAATCCCCTTTCCTGTTAATAGTGGCAAGGATACAATTCTGGAGCAGCTCTGTGACAAGCAGTATTATACATTAGGACCACTATGTGAAGAGGCTTTAATGATTTCCATATGGGAGTTGGATCATGTTGGATCAACTATAAACCTGGCACAAACTCTCTTGTTATGCATTGCAGTCTAACCATTTCACCCAGGCTGTAGGTCACTTTTGAAATCATTGTCTGGATGACGGCCTGTGCAAGGTTTCTAAGCTTTCTGTTTTGGGTGATACATGGTATATGGATGGTATATGGCTAAATTTGGAATCTTAGATATTCTAGCTTATGTCCATTTAGTAATCATGAGTGCTTCTGTAGAAAGTCAAAATTAAAAGTTACGATAATGGTACTAACTTGCATTTATATTGATTTATTTATTGAATGGGAAGGTAACAACTGTGTTTCAAATTGCTGTTGTATGTGTTGAATAGTAAATGTTTATAAGAAATAAAGTGCCCCAGATCTTTCCAGTCTTGTCAAGAGTTACTTCAAAATAAAGTCATGTTTGGAGAGCATAAGCCTGAATATTTGATCTGTTTAAATGTTTGTAGGTGCAGTAGAAAAACCAGGATATATGTAACTGAAATAAATGCACTTGTTATTCTATATTATTAATGATTTTTAGGAGCCCTTTGAATGAAGATGTGTTTGCACCTCAGCACACAGAATTAAAAATGCAACATCCTAACATTCAAGAACTTACAGAACAAATACTAAAGTTATTGCTGCAGGTATGCTATTTATTTACTTATTTATTTATTATATATTTATACACGCATCCACACACATACAGATGGAGATACAGGTTGTCCTTGGGTTACGACAGCAATTGGGACCGGGATCGCCATCACTGAGCAATGCGATTGTAAAGCGCAATGTCACGTGACTGCATCACTTAGCAATAGCATTCCTGGCAGTCCTGGTTGCGATCATAACCCCAGGACATGGACTGGCCAACCAAGGCTGTGGGAGGGTGGGTGGAAGCTGTAGGCAGGCAGGGGTTGCTGCAGGTGGGTGTGTGCTATGGAGTGTGGGCTGGTGGGGGTTGTTACGAAGTACGAGATCTCTGGGATCTCATACTCTGTAGTGGGGCTCCTCAAGAGAAAAGGCAGTGGAAGCAAATCAATCCCATTGATTTTGCTTGTGGGAAGCTGGCAGGGAAGGTCACAAATGGTGTTGACATGATGTGGTCACTGTGACATCATAATTGCGGACTGGGCACCTGAGTACCCAGATTGCGATCATGTGACCAAGGGGATGCTGTGATGGCTGGAACTTCGAAGACTGGTTGTAAGTCCATTTTGTCAGTACCACTGTAACTTTGAATGGTTGTTGAACAAATGGATGTAAGCCAAGGACTACCTCTATACACACACAAACATATGTCCTGATACCTATCAATACCTTCAAAATATTGATAGTTTTGCGAATCGAATTATGCTCTTAGTGTTTTTAAATATCCTTCTTGTGTGCTGATACTTCAAGTAATAACAATAAAATACATTTATTAATTATTAACAGTATTTTGGGGGCGGTTACAAAACTGTTAAACTGCAGAATTGTAATCAAGTATAAAATCAAGTAAGTTAAATTAAGAATTCTCCATTATAATATATTTAAAGTGAAGTGACAAGTCAGCTTAAAAATAAAAGTTAAAGTCTCCTATGTTGTTTTCTTAGCAATAATATGGATATAGTTTATCATTAATGCCAAACAGAATAAAAAATAGAAATTACTTATTGAAACTGGTGTAATTTTCTGTTAGTATATAAATATGCATGTATGAAAAGTCTTTATATATAAATCTCTTTTTAAAATTCTGTCTCCAATGAGAGGATTAGAAAATTAAACAAAGAGTCTACAGGAATTTTTGTGTGTCAGTGATAATTTTTATGTGACATTGAAATGAGCTGTTCTTAAGCTATGTTTGAGGTCAAACATTATTGTTTAGTATCAGAATGCTACTGGTTTATTTACTGAAAATGGCAAAAGATATGCAAATATTCAATTCATATTGGGAAAAGTATATGCGCACTCATTTTTGCTAACCAGATCCTATCCAGATCCTACCCAGCTTAGATTTTTTTTTTTAGATTAGGTGGTTCTTCTTGTGATTCTTAAAACTAAAGCTTCTTTAAAATCTGTGTGTGTAAGAGTGAATGATTCGTAAAATGACATCTGTTTTTCCACTTAGAAGTTTGTCTGATTTTAAAATTACTGTTCCTATAAAGAGTTAAGTACTGAGGGACTTTCGGGGAAGAAATGGCAGACTGAAGATGGCTCAGCATTTTGTAAAGCCAACGATTGCAACTAAGAACAAGGAGCCGATGAGCAGATTGGCTCCTTCAACCCTTCCTGAAGAAAGAGAGGATGTGAGATCACCCAAGTTGCACTCTACACAGTTGTTCCTCATGAGGAGACTGCAAGGCAGAGGTCTCTGCAGGGTGGGAGAACCAGAAGACGAGGGAATTTGGCATTCTTGCTCCGGAGCCTTCAAAGGACACTTCCTTTGCTAACCATATTTGGAAATTGTCTATAAACTGCTTTAAAGAAGTTAGACACCTTCAAATGATAAGGCTTGAAACACTGGGTGAGTGTCTTCAATCCTTAATATAAGAAAATGAAACTCTATAAGTTTTAAGAATTCAAAATAAACAGCAAAAAGCAAGACAACATTTTGGCTATAGAAAGTTATAAATGGATTAAGGGCTCAGAAAAAGTTGGAATATTTGATTTTGAATATTAAGACTTTAAAATTAATTTTAAAG